CCCCCCAACCCACCAATCTGCGTACCAGGAGATGATCGTACAGTGAGGGCAATGATGTCCCTCTGTTAGAAGGTGCATCCCATCGCCACCATAATTTGGACTTGTCTCCTGCATTCATGTATACCCTTTGGTAAAGTGCAACATCACCTCTAATCTCACTTAGAATTGGGATTGTTCAGGGAGAGTTTGACCTCTCTGGGTACACTGCGGGCCCACAACACGCTGCTTCAGCAAGTCCGATAACTGGCTTTCGTTGTGTGCTCACCCTGAGACTCTATCGGTAACTGGGAATCTTTTGACGAAGTCTTTGACTGCTACCAGGACTTCTGAGTTGAGGTATATCCCCACTTGTTCACAGCTACAAGCCTCCTATAACGGCCATCCTGTTCAAGCCATAAATGAAATTGCTTAGGAAGCTATGCTTTTTAAAAAAGGCAGCTGCAAACGCAAAACATCAAATAAACTGGCAGCTCACCGAGAGAGAAGAATGTAAAAAGTTGTTGTGTTTTTACCAATGGCTCTTTGGGAATTAACAAAGAATATGTCGCCATTACGTTTGTAATCAAAAGCGTGTTATTGTTCTCACATGAAAAACGAGACCATTGTTTCTCGTGACGTATGTTTAGCGTACGTCATAATTCCAAAACAGTGCTTGTCAACCTTTGCCAGCCCATTTTTGCCACCTTGACGGGGTTAACATTTTATACTGCTCTCCTACGTGTAGTTGTACATGTATATTATGATATCTAAGCGGACACTAAGTAATTGTTGTCACTATCTAGATGATCCTCACCACCCACCAAACTATTACCAAATCGCCTAGGTTGTCAAGCGCTGTTCTAAGGAAGCAGATCCTTTCTGGCTTGTGGAATTAAAATCGGGATTCTTTTGTCTGTTTAAAGTACTGAACGGTGTCGTAATTCTTCTGTCAGTTAAAATGCCGCAGAAACTTTTGTAAGAATAACATGGTACGTGTTAATTCCAAGGGTTAGAAAACCAAACTTGTGTGACTACAATCATTTCATTTGTATCTCTGGCATG